ACTCGAGAGTGCATCAGAATCACCTGGAGGGCTTGTTAAAATAATGTCCTTGCCGAAACCGGTTTGGCTCAGTGGATAGAGAGTCAGCCTGCGGACTGAAGGGTCCTGGGTTCGATTCCAGTCAAGGGCATGTACCTTGGTTGTGGGCACATCCCCAGTAGGGGGTGTGCAAGGGACAGCTGATTCATGATTCTCTCTCATCGATATTTCTAACTCTCTCTCTCCCTTCCTCTCTAAAAAAAATCAATAAAATATATTTAAAAAAACAAACAAACCAACAAAAAAAACACACCAATGTCCTGGTCTTGGCCAGTTTGGCTCAGTGGATGGAGCGTCGGCCTGCGGACTCAAGGGCCCCGGGTTTGATTCTGGTGTAGGGTATGTGCCTCAGTTGAGGACACATCCCCGTCGGGGGGGTGTGCAGGAGGCAGCTGATTGATGTTTCTCTCTCCCTCTCCCTTCCTCTCTGTAAAAAATCAATGAAATATATTTAAAAACAACAACAAAAAACAACATCCTGGACTCATCCCAGAGTTTCTGATTCAGCAGGCCTGGGATGGGGCTGGAGGATTTGCATTTGGAACAAGTTCCCAGGTGATGTTGATGCTGCTGGTCCTGGACCACACTTTGAAAACCAGTTTCAATGAATGCAGCCACGGTCTCCTGTTCTGATACCCGATTCTTCGTCCTCCACAACAACAAAGACTCATTCATGGGCCTTGAGCTCCCAGATGGCAGAGTTTGTATCAGATCAATCCCCACAGCTCCAGCGCGGGTGCTTTGCCATTATGGGTTGAATTGTATCCTTCAAAAAGTTGTTGAAGGCCTAACCCCCAGGACTTGAGAATCATGTGATCTTATTTTGAAATAGGGTTTTTGGAGATGTATTCAAGTTAAGGTGAGGTCATTAGGATGAGCCCTGATCCAATGTGATTGGTGTCCTTATAAGAAAAGAAGGGCAGCCAAAACCGGTTTGGCTCAGTGGATAGAGCGTCGGCCTGTGGACTGAAAGGTCCTGGGTTCGATTCCGGTCAAGGGCATGTACCTTGGTTGTGGGCACATCCCCGGGAGGGGAGGGGTGCAGGAGACAGCTGATCGATGATTCTCTCTCATTGATGTTTCTAACTATCCCTCTCTCTTCCTCTCTGTAAAAAATCAATAAAATATATTAAAAGAAGAAGAAGAAGAAGAAGAAGAAGAAGAAGAAGAAGAAGAAGAAGAAGGAAAGAAAGAAAGAAAAGAAGGGCAGCCAAAACTGGTTTGGCTCAGTGGATAGAGCATCAGCCTGCGGATTGAAGGGTCCAGGGTTCAATTCCGGTCAAGGGCATGTACCTTGGTTGCGGGCACATCCCCAGTGGGGGGTGTGCAAGAGGCAGCTGATCGATGTTTCTAACTCTCTATCCCTCTCTCTTCCTCTCTGTAAAAAAAATCAATAAAAATATATTTTAAAAAATACTTTTATTGATTTTTTTGCAATAAATTGATTTTTATTGTAAAAAAATCAATAAAAATATATTTAAATATAAATTTTTTATTGATTTTTTAAAATATATTTTATTGATTTTTTACAGAGAGGAAGGGAGAGAGATAGAGAGCTAGAAAGGTCGATGAGAGAGAAACATCGACCAGCTGCCTCTTGCACACCCCCTAACAGGGATGTGCCCGCAACCAACGTACATGCCCCTGACCAGAATCGAACCTGGGACCTTCCAGTCCGCAGACCGACGCTCTACCATTGAGCCAAACCGGTTTCGGCTTTATTGATTTTTTTACAGAGAGGAAGGGAGAGGGATAGTTAGAATCATCAATGAGAGAGAATCATCGATCAGCTGCCTTTTGCACACCCCACACTGGGGATGTGCCTGCAACACTGGGGATGTGCCTTAACCAGAATTGAACCTGGAACCTTTCAGTCCACAGGCCGATGATCTATCCACTGAGCCAAACTGGTTTTGGCTAAAATATATTTTTTTAAAAAAAGAAAAAAGAAGGGCAGATAGAAACATGAGGGGAGAATGCCATGTGACCCTGGAGTCATCAATGGTAGCGCTGCAGCTGTAAACCAGGGACTACCAGCAAACCACCAGAAGCTGGGAGGCAAGGAAGGATTCTTTCCTTCAGGCTTCATGGGAGCATACTACCGGTACCTTGATTTCAGGCTTCTAGCTACCAGAACTTCGAGACAATAAATTTCTGTGTTTTTCAGCCACCCAGTATGTTACGGCAGTCCTAGGAGACGAATACACTGAGAGATGTATTTTTATTTTTTACAGGTACCACCAATACAGATCTTTTCAAAATCATACCTTTTAAAAAATATGTTTTTATTGATTTCAGAGAGGAAGGGAGAAGGGGAGAGATAGAGACACCAATGACGAAAGAGAATCATTGATTAGCAGCCTCCTGCACAACCCCCACTGGAAATCAAGCCCGCAACCCAGGCCTGTGCCCTGACCTGGAATCGAACTGTGCTTTTCTTGTTCATAGGTTGACACTCAAACACTGAGCCATGCTGGGTGGGCTACATTTTTTAAAAAATATGTCTTTTATTGATTTTTTTTACAGAGAGGAATAGAAGGTTAGAAACATCGATCAGCTGCCTCCTGCACTCCCCTCCACCAGGGATGTGCCCACAACCCAGTCACATGCCCCTGATGAGAATCGAACCTGGGACCCTTCAGTCTGCAGGCCGACGCTCTATCCACTGAGCCAAACCAGTTTTGGCTGGGCTACATTATTTTTTTATAGGTAATATGGCTCCCCCTAACCCCCCAAATTTTGAGATGTTTTCTTTCATGCAGTGCATAGGACTGCACTGAGCATGAGAAGCTAAGCAGTGAACTCGCACCCATCTCCTTTTGACCTTTCTACAGTCCCTGTTCATATTTTATTATCCCTTATATTTCATCTGTCCCACTGGAGCAGGAAACGATAGCATAAGCACATCATGTGCTGGGAGAGCCCCAGAGCTTTGTTTCCCATCAGCTGTTCCATGGGTGCTGGGTGGGGGCCAGGGAAATCATGAGAGGGTGTGCCTCAACCTTGACTCCAGAGACAGCACCCAGGGGAAACTGCATCCATCATTACTACAGAGTTACTGTCAAGTTGTGTTCCCACCCCTGTCTACATCCCAGGGCAGGTTGGGCTTGGGGATTTGTGCTCCTTCCCACCTTATTTTAGGCAATTATTAACCTGAAGTGGCTGCAGGGATTTAGTGAGAAAGGAATCCTGGTCGCACTGCCTGCTGGTCTCCTGGTTTCCAGCGTCCTCTCTTCCCCTCTTCCTTATAGAGGCTACCACCCATTCCCACAGGGCCCCCGTCCTCGTCTGGAAAGTGATTCTTTTCAGAAAGCAAAGGGCTGTAAATTCCTCCTTGCTTGTTTGTTCATGGTCCTCACATTTTGGCCTGGGGTGTCACTCAAGCCTCCTCTGACCACTCCCTACCCTTTACCAAACTCCTTTAGTGTCCCTACCCTTCACCAAACTCCCACTCCACCAAACTCCTTTAGTGCCCCCAGCCTGCCATGCCTTCTCTGTCTCCCCAGATGACACCTGCTGCTCTTCTGCTTAAAACATTCTTTCTTGTCCATACCACGCCAAACACTCCTGGTGTGTGTGTGTGTGTGTGTGTGTGTGTGTGTGTGTGTGTGTGTGAGATGTGCCTCTGTGCACCTCTCAGCTCCCCCATTTCCTCTATCTATAGGATGGTCATATTGTCTTGTAAGTACTTGTTTACTGTTCCTCTCTCCTCTTAGGCTACGACCTCCCCAAGAGCAGGGCCCTGGTCTTATTCATCTTTGGTCTGTACCTGCAGCTGGGAGCAGCTAGCTAGCTAGCTTTGTGGTTGGAAACAGGTCCTCACAGTGGGCTTGTTGCATGAGATGATGATGGGTGACATGGGTAAATCACCATCGCCATCATAATGAAAGGTATTGTTCAGACAGGGTTTTTTTTTTGTTGTTGTTTGTTTGTTTTTTTAAATATATTTTATTGTTTTTTTGCCCCCCTTCCTCCCTCCCACACATCCCCTCCCCAGAGTTTTATGTCCATTGGTTGTACTTATATGCATGTATAAAAGTCCTTCGGTTGATCTATTATCTCCCCCAGATCTTCCTCCCCTCCCCGCTGTAATTTGACAGTCTGCTTGTTGGTATACTGTCTCTATATCTATCTTTTGGTTCATCAGTTTATAATGTTCTTTATTATCCACAAATGAGTGAGGTCATGTGGTCAGACAGGGGTTTTTGTGTGAATCTGGTTTTTTATATTCAAAATCTCATTTCATTCTAGTAGAATCCTCTGACAGAGAACCATGTATCCCCATTGCACAGATGGATACGCGGAGGGCTTGAGAAGTAAAAAGCGGGCCTCACCACTAGTTAAGTAGTTAAAAAACCCAAACCAGCCTGAGTCCAAAGCCCGAGTCTCCCCGCAATCGCTGCACTTAGAAAATCACCGAATGGCCGAAACCGGTTTGGCTCAGTGGATAGAGCGTCGGCCTGCGGACTGAAAGGTCCCAGGGCCTGCGGACTGAAAGGTCCCAGGTTCGATCGTTCCCAGGTTCGATCCCGGTCAAGGGCATGTGGTCGCGGGCACATCCCCAGTAGGGGGTGTGCAAGAGGCAGCTGATGGATGATTTTCTCTCATCTAGGTTTCTCTCTATCCCTCTCTCTTCCTCTCTGTAAAAATCAATAATAAGTAAATAAGTAAATAAATAAATATATTTTTTAAAAAAAAGAAAAGCACCGCATGGCGGAGAGCGGATCTGGTGCAGGGAGGAAAGACTTGACCAACCAGTCCCAGTCCAGGTCCGGGCTCCGGCTGCAGCGCTGGCTCCAGCAAACCGGCCACGCGTGCGCAGTGCGGCGGCGGCGCCCCCTGCGGGCGGCGCGCAGGCGGCGCGCAGGCGGCGGCGGGCACGTGGTGCGCCTGCGCGCTCGCGGCGGCGGGGAGGCGGCGGCACCCTGCACGGCACCGGCTCTTCGCGCGCCGCCGCGGCCATGGCGCATCCGGGGAAGCTGCTCAAGGAGCAGAAGTACGACCGGCAGCTGAGGTTAGCCGGGGCTCACCGCGTCGGGCGGGCGGGCCGGTGAACCCCCTGCGTCCGTCCGTGCCGGGCCTGAGCGAGCGAGCGGCGCGGCCGGGCCTCGCAGGCCTCCCGCCGGGCCGCCCTGCAGGGCTCGGGAGCTGGCGCTGGGGCCTCCAGCGTGAGGCCGGGGCCGGGGGTGCCCCTGCAGGGCCGACCTCCTCCTCCCCGCGGGCGCGCCTGCCCGCCCTCCAAGCTGTTTGAGGGGCGCGGTCCCCAAGGCGCAGCCTTTGTCACCGGGAGCCTGCAGGCCCCGCCTCGTTGCGCGCAGGCACCAAGTTTTGCAGAATGGGGGGGGATCGCCACTCCCCATCCCGCGCCTACCGAGGGTTAGGTGCTGTCCAATAGAAACATAACGCCAGTCTCCTGGGAGCCAGGTGCGTCATGATGCATTTTCTCGGAGTCACATGAAAAGGAAACAGTAAAGTCAATTTTAATAATACAACGTAACCCAATATATTCAAAATACTACCTTTTCAATATTGTCCTCGAGATCCGGCCTTTTGCACTGCATAGCACATCATCTTTCCGACGGGCCTTGTGCCTATTGCTCAGTAGCCCCATGTGGTTAGTGGCTACCTTAATGGATACTACAGGTCTAGGCCATGAGGCATTGTTTTTTCTCTTTACCCTCCCCATTCCTTATTTATGGAGCATCTTTGTTGTGTTAAGGCAATAAAAGTAATAAACTCTTGGCTCCCTTTCTTTCTGGAGCCTCCAAGCCAGGAGTTACAGAATGCCCCCTTTGTCTTAGGGACTTTAGGCACTCAATTCTTTTTCTTTTTCTTTTCTTTTTTATTTTATTGATTATTATTATTATTATTTACAGAGAGGAAGGGAGAGGGATAGAGAGCCAGAAACATCAATGAGAAACATCCATCAGCCGCCTCTTGCAATCCCCCCCCCCCCCCACGGGGGATGTGCTTGACTGGAACCCAACTGGGACCAGTCCGCAGGCCCATGCTCTATCCACTGAGCCAAACCGGTTTTGGCTAGGTACTCAGTTCTGAGAGCAGCCTTGAAGGCAGACAATTCTCTGCTTTATTGATGAGGAAACTGAGTCTGGGAGAAGTTAGATGACTAGCTCTGTGTTCTGGCCTTTGCAAAGCTGGTATTCGGTCACATCACTCTGCTCAGAAGCTTGTGGGGAAAAGAAGCAAAGTGGCAGAGCCCTTGTCACCAACTCCTGCTTTCTCGCAAATGCTTGGAGTTGCTTGTGTTTTGAATGCAGATAGAACCATCCCTGACAGAGCTGAGATGATATTTTTGGTTACTAAGTAAGTGGAACCAAAGAGTTGTTGCTGAGTTCAGTCCATTGAAGGATCAAACTTTACCTTTCATAGTAAAAACTAGTTATTATGTTGAAATGCCAGAGGGAAGCAATTAGAACAAATAAGTACAGCCAGCCAGCAGTCAACAAGGCTCTGCTTTTCTTAGACCAACAAGAGTAGAAAGGATTGATTTCTTGTTTGGGGCCCTTTCTTGAAACATGTTATCTAGAAATGCACCAGTAATCTCTTAGGCCCACTCTCCAACTGCCCAAGCATCCATCTACTAAATATGTCCGGTGTCTTCTGTGTGCCCTTCTTTCACTGGAAAACCTGATGTTTCCAGTCCTTCTGGTTCTTCCAGGTTTTCCCTCCATTCATTTGATAACTGTTCGGTGATCACTTACCCTGGACGGGACATTGTGCCAGGCATTGGGACTACAGTGGCAGATACGGGGAGTGATCTGGGACCCTTTGGAGCTTAGAGTGGAATGGAAAGATGGATATTCAGCAAATAAAAAAAAAACAGATAAGGCAATTATAGTTGTGACATATGCTGTAGGATATACAGGCTACCAGATAAGATAATCTGCTTTAGGTCAAATAACAAAGAAGGCACATTAAAGTCTAACCATCCTCCAGGCTTTGGAATTTTTCTAATGGTTTGGGCTCTCCTTATACTTCTTTTTTTCTTTTTTTAATTGTTTGAAGTATTACAAATAATAGTACATATGTCTCCTTCTCCCTCCCCCCTCATTGACCTCCCCCCAGCCTCCCCTACCCCTCTATATATGCCCTCACCTACCTCCCCCCCTTCCCTCTTGTATCCATTGGTTATGCTTATATGCATGCGTACAAGTCCTTCGGTTAATCTCTTACAGCCCCCCCCCCCCAACCTCTCCTGCCTTCCCGCTGTTGTTTGACAGTCTATTCAATGCTTCTTTGCCTCTTGCCTCTGTATCTATTTCCCCCCCCATTTCTTTCCTTTAAAAAATCTTGCCTCTGCAGACTAGAAATAAACATATAATAACAAAAAATGTTTGAGTCCCAATTTCAATGTCCAGCAGTTCTGAGTCCCCGTCTCAATGTCCAACAGTTCCTAATGTGTACACGTCAGCAGTGATATCTGGATGGCGGGCACATGATGGCAATGCGGCCCGACCCTCTCTGGTTTGGCCCTAGCAACGTGCAGCGACGTACAGCTGCTGGCTGCTAGCGTGGCCAGGCTTCATCAGCGTCTTCCATCTCTGGAATGTTTTTCCTCTTGTCTTCGTGGTTGGAGCAGACCTGTCAGATTCCTCTCTGTTGCAGGAATCCCCATGGTCTTGGAGTTGTTTTCTGAAAATAATACAAGCGTATTCTCGACCAAAAGTTAATAAAGGAATCTTTTCTATATAATTGATTTGGGATCCTTTTTATTTTTGCCCAATCCTTATACTTCTTATAGTGACAAGAAAAGATAAACTAGTTAGTGAGCTTTCTGGATGAAAATCCGGTTGGCTCGGATGCCATGATACATGTGTGATCATGTGCCTTGTTCTTTTAATGATATGCCTGTGTGAATCATAACATATATGTCTAATCTTTAGTACATCTTTGTTAATGCTTAATTTGTTAATTTGTTAATCATGCTACTAGAATGTTCATTGGGTATTATAGTTTAAAGTACTGTAGAAGTCACTGTGAGGCTTTTCATGGAATAATCAGTTTTCTTGGTAAAGCTTTTCTCACTCTTACAGACGTCACAAATCTTATATCAAGTGATAGGTCCTTTGTCAAGATCTTAATTAAACTGGATCCACATAACTTAAGGAGAAATGAAGTAGAGGACAGAATCAATTTTAAGTCTAAGGCACTTCTTTAATGTTGTTGAGTATTTTTAAAGACTTTGCATTATGGAAGTTATCTGGCTTGAAGTGAATAATGGACAGGAAGCTGAAAGACCAAGTGTCCAGTTTTGACCTGACTCCCCCATACAACCATGCACGGCATCACTCTTAGTCTGAATGTTACACAGCTATATAATCCCCATTACACCTCCTGCTGTTCCTGTTTTACATATTTGCCATGGTTATCACATCAGTTATTCTATGCAGGAACACTTAAAAGATCAAAGATCACCATTCAGATAAGAAAGGTATTTTTGTTGATTTCAGAGAGGAAGAGAGAGAGAGAACCATCAATGATGAGAATCATTAATCTGTCTCCTGCATGTGACACACCCTCCTCCCCCTCAGGATTGAGCCTGCAACCAGGACATGTAGTCTTGACTGAAATCGAACCTAGGACCCTTCAGTCCACAGACTGATGCAAACCAGCTAGGGCAAGAAAGTATTTTTATGAAATGCTTTCAAATGTTGAATTTGTATCTTGTTTCATAGGTTGTGGGGTGATCATGGACAAGAGGCTTTAGAATCTGCTCATGTTTGCCTAATAAATGCAACAGCCACAGGAACTGAAATTCTTAAAAACTTGATACTTCCAGGTAATGCAGTTTTATGGTTGTAAATTTACTTCTTTAAGTTTTAACGTGAAATATATATATCCTTGACTGATTCTCTTTTGTCTCCCAGGTATTGGTTCATTTACAATTATTGATGGAAATCAGGTCAGCGGAGAAGATGCTGGAAATAAGTATGTTTTATTCTTTTCACATATTTGCGTGTTAGGGAAGGCAGTGTATTGTCACAGCAGAGTGAGGCCTAAGTCCCAGCTTCACCTCAGTCAGGGTGACTTGACTGAATGGACAGTAATCCCTGTTTTGGATTATGGCAAGGATGAAGGGAATTAATGTAGCTCAAATGCTAGCTAGCACAATGTCTGGCAAATAGGCCTTTAATAAAATATATCCATCATCACTATCTTTATTGCTGTTATTAATGCAAAGGAGTAGGCATTATTTTTCTAATTGTGGAGTCTGGACACTTCCTAAGTCCTTGTGTGGATTCCTGAATGTTAGTATATAATTAACAATAATTGTATATTTGAATTATAAGAATAATAAAAATCTACCTTTTACTTGCGGTATCTTCTAAGCTTAGTCCAGGTATATGTCTCTCTCCACTACACCGTCTCCATAAACATGCTATTGTGAAGATGGCCTTTTTTTTTTTTTTTTTAAATATATTTTATTGATTTTGTACAGAGAGGAAGGGAGAGAGATAGAGAGTTAGAAACATCGATGAGAGAGAGTCATCAATCAGCTGCCTCTTGCACACCCCCTACTGGGGATATGCCCGCAACCAAGGTACATGCCCTTGACCGGAATCGAACCCGGGACCCTTCAGTCCCCAAGCCGACGCTCTATCCATTGTGCCAAACCGGTCCCGGCTTTTTTTTTTTTTTTTTTTTTTTTTTTTTTTTTTTTTTTTTTTTTTAATATAGTATATTTTATTGATTTTTTTAGAGAGGAAAAGAGAGGGATTGAGAGTTAGAAACATCGATGAGAGAGAATCACCGATCAGCTGCCTCTTGCACACCCCCCACTGGGGATGTGCCTACAACCAAGGTACATGCCCTTGACCGGAATCGAACCTGGGACCTTTCAGTCCACAGGCCGACGCTCTATCCACTGAGCCAAACCGGTTTCAGCGTGAAGATGGCCTTTATATCATTCTTCAAAGCTGATCATATTTAGATGTTTAGAGCCTTTCAGACTCGCCTTTTCAGGGACTTGGAGTCTGGGATCTCTCATATTTGTCAGTAAACAGCAGCAATGAATAAATGCAAAGAACATATTGAACTTTGATACACAATACCGCCCTTTTATCGGTGTCTGTAAAGAAAAAGTCCTGTTACCTTTCTTCACTTGTTGCTTAGAGCAGGATGTAATAAGAATAAGGCTTCTTTTTCTAATGGAGCCACTGAACTGCTACAACATAGCATCCTGACTGTTTAGCAGCCTCAGGTCTGGGCCCTGGGATATGACAAGGGTATGTGTGGGAAGCAGCCTGAATAGATCTGTTATAGTTACCGGCAAAAGCAAACAGTTTAATACAGCATTTCCCACGTGCGGCTGATGGAGCATGGTTCTGGAGAATACTTTTTTAAAAAAATATATATTTTATTGATTTTTTACAGAGAGGAGGAGAGAGAGATAGAGAGCTAGAAATGTTGATGAGAGAGAAACATCGACCAGCTGACTCTTGCACACCCCCTACTGGGGATGTGCCCACAGCCAATGTACATGCCCTTGACCGGAATCGAACCCAGGACCCTTCAGTCCGCAGACCGACGCTCTACCACCGAGCCAAACCGGTTTCGGCCTGGAGAATGTTAATAACTGCTAAATGGGCAAAGGGATTCCATGGGCAAATGAAATTAGACATTTCTTTAACATGAGACTTTAATATCATGTGTATTGTGTATGTTATGAATTTCCAAGAGGGAAATATAACCTATGGTGATTCCTAAACTTTTTAAAGCCAGAGAACTCTCTTTTCTCTCAGAGCATCTTGTGAAATTTGTATATGCTGCACACTTTGGGGAACATTGATTTATTTGCTTGTCTTTGATTATAAGTGTCATCCAGTGTTCTTCCTCCAGGAAGGCTGTTACAATCTGTAATCAAAATAAAGTTTATTTTGCATTATGAATGAAATGTACCTGGTATTACAAATAACCTTCCCTTTATATAGTCAAAGAAGCCCTTAACTTTATTTTTTGTGTGTCTTTTTTCAGTTTTTTCCTTCAAAGAAGCAGTATTGGCAAGGTAAACAATCAATTTGTTTAGTTTATAGTTGAGTTTAAGCATTTAATGATGCTACTATATTTTGGTTTCTTGAAAAAGCTTTGACTTTAAAAGAGCTTATATTTCTCTGAGAAAGAAGTTAAAATAGCTCATTATTTTTATCTTGTAAATTTTATAAGCTTTTAGTTCAAGAATGTAGAAGTAATGTATTTTTTTTTTTACTGTATCCTATATTAATGCTAAATCTTGAGTGATGTTAATGTTCAGAGGAAAGAGTATTTTTAACAAGAACCAGAATATCTTTTATTTTTGTATTTTATATTAAAAATCTTACAAAGCCATACTAATCAATTTAGTATAATATTCTGAGTGGAAATGACTTTTTTTTTAATGATTGACCTCTTGTACAGTATTTTTTTAAACTTTTTTTATTATTAAATTATTATCTGTGTACATCTCTTGTACAGTGTTGTAAATTGATCTAGAATATTCCTGCCTGGTGCTCATGGTTTTTTGGTCATTTACATAATCAGAAAAGTAGGATGCAAATAAAGTAGGATGTACTTAAAAACTCTGAATAATGAGTTCTATTCAAAGTAATATTCTGGTTGAGTCTCAGTGTAAACACTGTGAAAAGCAGAGTTGTCATATCTGTGCATGAAATTTGGTGTCATTTTAAAGTTTGTTTGCTTAATCTGTTAATTGAAGGCGTTACATTTTAACAAATTTTTTTCTAATTCAAGTTAAATGCTTTCTTTTCAAAAAGAACCGAGCTCAAGCTACCATGGAATTCTTACAAGAATTAAATAATGATGTCTCTGGGAGTTTTGTGGAAGAGGTATATATGTATATACATTATTATTTCTGTGCAGAAATTTTATTTTTTAATAATTCAAAACTTATTTAGAAATTTGAATTTTTGTATGCTATTTACTTGAATGTTGGCTTTAATATTGGAGTCTAGCATGTTGCCTCATTTATTTTAAATAGCTTAACTGTTTCTGCCATGTTTAATATGATTGTGAACTTCTTGGATTTTTTTTTCCCCCTTGTCCTATTTAGAGTCCAGAAAACCTTCTAGACAATGATCCTTCATTTTTCTGTAGGTTTACTATTGTGGTTGCAACTCAACTTCCTGAAAGGTAAATTTTTATGTTAATTTATTTTTAATTGAATGTCTTAATTAGATTTGCATAGTTTTGTTTATCCTGTAGAGTATGGTTTTTAAAAATTCTTAAACTCTATAGAAACCTTGAATTGGAAGCACTTATGAATCTCTAGCATCAAAAAGATAGGAAAGAAAGATACTGGATGTGAAATTTTGAAGGATTATATTTTTAGAGCAGTTAAATTGAACATTTGTTATTTTAAGTGGGAGGAAAAAACTAGTTAGAAATAATTATAGGGAAGAAAGGTTTTAAGGTGTTTTGTTATATATCCATTTGCTTATATTCTTATTTATTGTGCCTTCCTTTACAGCACATTACTGCGTTTAGCAGAGGTCCTCTGGAATTCCCAAATCCCTCTTTTGATCTGTAGGACATATGGACTCGTTGGTTATATGAGGATCATTATAAAAGAACATCCAGGTAAAATTGTTGCACATATGGGGCTTGCTTTCCATTGCTTTAGCTATGATTTTAGAACTGACAATTTAAAAGTCAATTTTAAATTTCAAAGTAAATTTGTAGCAGTCCAAACGGTTTATAGGTTCAAAGTGTCAGTCAGTGACTGACAGGCTTTAATCTAGTATTTCCTTTACATACATTATAGGCTACAAAACAAGAGATAAGAGGGTGTACAGCTTCTTCATCTTATTAGGAGGCCTAGTTGCTGTGCAAGTACCTAGCCATTTATTTTTTTATTTTTTACCTTTTAGCATACATAGGGCCTGCATGTATGAGTACTTACAGGTGAGAACCAAGGTCACGCTGACACCTAGAAGTCACACCACCTTTTTCCCCGCCAATCTTTTATCCCATTCTCATACAGGCCTTAGACTCTTCCAGTTCAGGTACAATTCCACAAAACAAGGCATTTACCTAACTGCTGTTCTGAGGACAAAGTGTTATCAGAGACCAGAGTCATTCATATTCAGGCTTGCACCAGCTCAAGGCTGATGTTAGTCCTTTACTTACAGAATTTTAATCTTAAATGACCATAACATTTTTTTAAATATATTTTATTGATTTTTTACAGAGAGGAAGAGAGAGGGATAGAGAGTCACAAACATCGATGAGAGAGAGTCATCAACCAGCTGCCTCCTGCACAGCCCCTACTGGGGAAGTGCCCGCAACCAAGGTACATGCCCTTGACCGGAATTGAACCCGGGACCCTTCAGTCTGCAGGCCGACGCTCTATCCACTGAGCCAAACCGGTCTTGGCGACCATAACATTTTTAATCAGTATTTATACATTGCTCTGAGCCAGGTAGTTTGCTAGTGCAATGATGGAGCCATTGGCATTGGTATCAGCACTGAGTAGTAGTTAGTATCTGCTTAGCAGTTAGAGAGTGACTTGAGAGGATAAGCTTTTGGCAGGTGATATTGGGCCATTTAAGAGTTGTAAGTGGGAGAGTGACAGTAACAACTTCAAGTGGATCACTGAAGCTGAGTAGAGAATGAATGGATTTGAAGAGGCAAAGACTGGAGGCAAGAGTTGCTGTTAGGAGATTTCCAGTGGTTTATTTATTTTTATTTTTTATTTCATTTTATTGATATTTTAGAGAGGAAGGGATAGGGACAGAGAGTCAGAAACCTCTATGGGAGAGAGACATCGATCAGCTGCCTCTTGCACACCCCTCACTAGGGATGTGCCGGCAACCAAGGTATATGCCCTTGACTGGAATCGAACCTGGGACCTCTCAGTCCAAAGGCCAACGCTCTATCCACTGAGCCAAACCAGGCAGGGCTTCCAGTGGTTTATATGAGAGAGAGGAAAAGAGAGCCACTGACTAAGTACAGATGTTACAAGGATAGGGAAGTGGGAATAGATGATAATGAAGGTTAACATTGCTAGCTTTGTGCCTGTCTTTATATGAATTATTTAATCTTACTAATATCTTATAAGATAGGTACTATTTTTATCTGCTTTTTACAGATGAGGATGCTAAGGCACAGAGCGATAAGTTGTTAGTCTAAGGTCACACAGGTAGCAAGTAACAGAACTGAGCGTAGCTTTAAAGACTCACTGGGATTACACACTTTTCTGAACTCCCCTTTGTGGAGAGCTGTGTGCACAGTGACATCGGGATGTGAGGAGTGACTGGTGATGGGCCAAGGAAGCAGGAAGTCAGGGATGACCATCAGGTTTCTAGGGAAGAGGTCAGGTAGATGGTGGTGATGTTTGTGCAGACGGCAGGAGGAGTAAGGGTAGGTTGTTAGGTAACATCTGAACACAATTTTATCAGTTTTGATCTTTTTCAACTATAATAACAAAATTTTGTTTTAAGAGAATCTTGGATTTTACTTTCATTAAAACTGTAGTCTACTTATGATTTTTGCTTTTAGTAAAATGTATATGTGAATTTACCTGAATAATGAACAAAAAATTTTTAAACTGTAGCCCTATGCCCATTTAAAAAGTATAGATTTCCCAAACTCTTGTAATGTAGTGTATTGCCAGCAGTATTAATAGAGAAGCAAGTTTATCTTTTGGCATTATTTATTTCACAGTAATAGAATCTCATCCAGATAATGCATTAGAGGATCTACGACTGGATAAACCCTTTCCTGAACTGAAAGAACATTTTCAGTCTTATGATTTGGATCATATGGAGAAAAGGGTTGGTATGACCTTATTTATTTATTTTTAAAAGTATGTTTGACCTGGCTGGTGTGGCTCAGTGGTTGAACATCGACCTATAATCTAGAAGGTCATGGTTTGATTTCCTGGTCAGGGCATATGCCTGAGTTTCAGGCTTGATCCTCAGTGTGGGCATGCAGGAAGCAGCCAGTCAGTGATTCTCTCTCATCATTGATGTTTCTATCGCTTTCTCCTTCTCCCTCTCTGAAATTAAAAAAAAAAAAAAAAATGTTTGTATTGATTTCAGAGAGAGTAAGGGAGAGGGTGAGATAGAAGCTTCAGTGATGAGAGAAAAATCATAGATTGGCTGCCTCCTACACAACCCCTGTTAGGGATTGAGCCCACAACCCGAGCATGTGCCCTGCCTGGGAATTAAACTGAGACCACTCGTTTCAGAGGTCTGCACTTAATTACTGAGCCATACCTACCGGGCTGAACTTCCATTTTATAGTTAGACTTAAAAACATTTTGAATACACCAATGTGAGACAATACTATAAATCTCCATAGTCCTGTCATCCAGATTATATAGAACAACATTGGACCTAATTTGTTTTAAATAAATCTTTTTTCTCCAAAATTTAAAAAACCCTTTTATCGAACAAAAGTACATTAACTGAACATATCTATGTAATTAACACCTAGATCAAGAAATTGGACATTAATATATTCCTCTTCATAGCTATTTCCTAAACAAATAGATGTGCTTTTTAAAATAGTTTGAATTTGGAGTGGGTGGTTGTTGAAATTTACTCCACTTGAAGCTTATTTTTAGTGTTTGAGAATTACCAAGGCAGTTGCATATTTTGGTATGAAAATAATAATGATATTTATAACACACCATATAACTTAAGGAATATATGTATTTTTTCTACCTACTTATTAATTAAAATGCAGGTGTTGAGTTCATCAGAAAATCAGAGAAAAATCTTCCTATAGTTAGGATTGATATCTGAAATCAAGAGATTTAAGCTTTATTTTTGGGTGGCAGTCTCTGAAACTGGTTTTTGATGGTAAAATGGGGACAAGCATAGTACATACCTGCCATATTAGGATCAAATTGGACACTGCTTCTAAAAAAGTTTTGTGAAGCAATTTTTATTAACCCAGTTCATTTTCTTTCATTCATTATTTCATGTATACTGGGGAATGATCATAAATATTGTTAAGCTTGTTGAAAATGATAGTGAGAAATAGATATTAACTAATTAATGTTAACTGGTATTTTTTCTCTCTCTCAATTTTAGGACCATAGCCACACTCCATGGATTGTGATCATAGCTAAATATTTAGCACAGTGGTATAATGAAGTATGTCCTTTAAAAAAAAAAGAAATTTCTTATGTGACTGTATTTTCAATTTATTATAAAGGATTTCATTGGAGGGAATGAGAAATTAATTTTCTTTTCTTGCTTGGCTTAGGATAGGGGGGTGATTTTCAGTTTAGATCTAGCAGTTCTTGTTTTAATATTGATATTTTTACTTACAAAATGAAATTTGAATGAATGTCATTCTGAAACTGGCAGTGGGGAATGAATGTAGAGAAATGGCCCACAGTTTCTGTTTCTATCAGGTTAGCCTCTGATTTCACTGGGGAGTATGTTTATTGATGGAATCTTATGTGGATGGGAGAATGGGGAAATTGAGGACTTTCAGCTTCTATATTTTGTTTTTATAACTTAAGTTTTTAATTTTTTTAACTGATTTAGACAAATGGACGAGTACCTAAAACTTATAAAGAAAAAGAAGAATTCAGAGATTTGATTAGACAAGGTAATATGGGATGTGACTAAATATTATGTAAGGTTTGAAAAGCAAATTGCTTGAAGCTAATGTTTATTGGATTTGTCAACACCTTTGTCAAAACCATCATCAGTTCATATTTTATTTTGAGGGAGATTAAGGAGCCATTCCTTGTACAGTTTTAGGAATGACTGGTGATAAAACCATATTTATTCTTAAGCTATAAAATATTTGATATTCCCCTCAGAATCTGACAGTTATTTCCATAATGTTGGGGAGAGAGAAAAAGAAAGAAGAAAAAGGTTATTTGCTAACCAATTTCTATTTTAATAGGAATTCTAAAGAATGAAGGTGGGTCTCCAGAAGATGAAGAGAATTTTGAAGAAGCTATTAAGAATGTGAACACAGCACTAAATACAACTCAGGTATTAAAAGAGTTGCTGAGGGATTCATTTAGAAAGGTGTTTTTTGAAGTCCTTATGATAAAATAGTTGATTTTAGATTTAAGTTAATATTTCCTAAATTGCATATAGATGGTTAGAAATTAAAATCTATTACAGATTGACTCTTGTTTTAATAATATTCTGTATTGTCCTAGTTAACTGGACATGAGTGCTTCAGTATATAATAGTGATATAATGATTTACATAAATCAATTATTTGAAGTATGTGATTTGTGAATACTAATAGTTTGGGTGTAGGTATTATATACTGAAGGTGATACTTTGCTGGTCCAAAATAGTGATGCCTGAAAATTTAAAATTTACCCTGCATTTGATTTTTTTTTTTTAACTTGAGATTTTTTTTCACTTTTATTATATTTTAATCCTTACCCGAGGATATTTTTCCATTGATATTTAGAGAAAGTGGAAGAGAGAGGGAAAGATGGAATTTTTGTTTTGTTTTGCTTTGTTTTTGTTAATCCTCACCCGAGGATATTTTTTCATTGAGTTTTAGGGAGAGTGGAAGAGAGAGGGAAAGACAGAAAATTGATGTGAGAGAAACACATCATTTGGTTGCCTCCTGCATGTGCCCTGACTAGGGCCGGAGGTGGGGAGGAACCTGCAACCTAAGTATAATACATGCGCTTAACAGGAACTGAACCTGGGACCCTTTGGTCTGCAGGCTGATGCTCTAGCCACTGAGCAAAACCAGCTGTGGCTGCATTTGCTTTTGACAGTAATTATTTGGCTATAAAGGAGGTGTTTTTAAATGACACTGATCCCTTAAAAATTACTTGGAGGAGCCGAAACCAGTTTGGCTCAGTGGATGGAGCGTCCGCTTGCGGACTGAGGGGTCCCAGGTTCGATTTCGGTCAAGGGCATGTGCATGGGTTGCGGGCGCATCCCCAGTGGGGGGGGTGTGGGAGGCAGGTGAGTCGATGTTTCTCTCTCATTGATGTTTCTGACTATCTTTCCCTCTCTCTTCCTCTCTGTGAAAAATCAATTAAATAAATAAATAAATAAATAAAAGATGGAGCATTGTTTTAAAAAAAATTACTTGGAGATAACTCATTTTAGATGCCCTTTTGTTATTGAAGCCTGGAAAGTGAGGTTTTGTGGGAACTTAGGAATAATACAACTGGGAGTTTAAGTTAGGATTTTCCTATAATTTACAACAGCAACAAATGCTGCCTTTTAAGTTAGAAAAGCACTTAAGCCGTCATTATAAAATTTTTAGAGACAAAGAAGTAGTGTTCGTGAGTGAGTAAAAGTGTGTGCTTTGTGAATCAGCTTTTGGGGGTGATAAAAATATATATTTATCAAAATGCATTGAATTATACATTTAAGAGTTGTTCATTTCACTGAATGTAAATTTTACACTAATTAAAAAGACACACCAGGGTTCTCATGACTGGGGGGTAATGAACTAAGCAAAGAGATAAATGCACCAGGTGCTATCAACAACATTAGAACAGAACGAAGAGCTGGAGCATGATGGGGAGGACAGAGGTCTGGGACCCAGAAGGGGGCCAAGGAGACTCAAAGAGATGTGTTTGAGCAGAAGCCTGGGTGAAGTGACATGCAGAGATCTGGTAGAAGAGCTTTCAGGCTGCGGAAGCACACGTGCAAAGAAAGGCCCGGAACTGGGATGAAGCTTAGCATTTGTTCAAGCAGTAAAACTGCCAGAATGATTGGAGAGACGTGAACAAGGTGGAAAGTAGTCAGAGGGATTTGAGTTTGGAAAGGCAGGAAGGGCCAGATCTTAATATCCTTGCAGGTCATTGAAGTGTTTTGAACAAGGGAGTGGAGTGATCAGATTTATATCTAAAACATTGTCTGGCTCTTGTGAGAAGAGATTGTAAAGGACGGGGATTGAAAGCAGAGAAACCAGTTGGAGGTTACCAGTAAGACATTTTTTTCCATAGTAGAATCGAAGCCTATAATTTCTAATGTTTTTATTATGATCTTGCTAGCATTAAAAATCCTTTAATTTAACACTCTAGTTTTTGTCAGAGGGTTGCAAATTAGAGCGAAAGGGTTGAAAATTTTTGACAAGATGGAAAACCATGAAGTACTATAACTCTAACTTGACATTAATGTCTGTAATTTTTGTTATATTTTAAAATGTAAACATGTTAAAAGATTTTACTTTGGCTCCTTCTTTTTTCCATTTATGATGGAAAAGAACAGGTCATTCATTAATGCTGACAATAATGGGCAGGATGTGACTTCCTTCCATTCTCTTTTTCTTCATCAAACTTCCATCTGGTACTCATTTTAAATAAAAATGTAAGAAAATCGGAAGTATGTATTTGATTACAGTTTGAGAATTCAAAGAACTTATTCAGAGAAACAGCTGTGAAAATAAAGGTGGCAGATTCTTAGTATAAGTAAATGTAAGTAAATGTTTTGTGTTCCTTTGGTAGATCCCAAGCAGCATTGAAGATATATTTAATGATGATCGCTGCATAAATATCACCAAACAGGTAACAACAACAAAAAGTAAAAATAGTGCCACCTTAAGCTTTGGATCAGATTCACATGCCACTTAATAATATTTTATTTTACTCTTTCAGACTCCATCATTTTGGATTTTAGCTCGTGCCTTAAAGGAATTTGTGGCTAAAGAGGGTCAAGGAAATTTACCTGTCCGAGGCACAATTCCTGACATGATTGCAGATTCGAGCAAATATATAAAATTGCAAAATGTGTAAGTCACTATTTTCAAACTATGTAGCAGAAAAAAATAATTTGTTTATATTAGAGATGAGACTATTTTACTAGCCTATCAGACATAAAATGGAAACCTTTTATAATCAAATTGCTTTAAAAACAAGCTAAAGATCTTAGAGGGCAGATTTAAAAAATAGATTTTTTTAAATTAAAATATATTTTATTGATATTTTACAGAGAGGAAGGGAGAGAGATAGAGAGTTAGAAACGTCGATGAGAGAAAAACATCGATCAGCTGCCTCTTGCACACCCCCTATCGGGGATGTGCCCGCAACCAAGATACATGCCCTTGACCGGAATCGAACCCGGGACCTTTCAGTCCGCAGACTGACGCTCTACCACTGAGCCAAACCAGTTTCGACTAGATTTTATTTTTTGAAATAGATTTAGCTTCATAGCAAAATTGAGTGGAAAGTACAGAAAGTTCTCATATACCACCCTCCTCCCCCAGGAGACAGATTTTTTTCTTATGTATTTCATGATAAAATGAACATTTGAGCAATTAATTCTGTGATATGAGCTGTCCTTGCATTAACTAATTTAATAGTCAAACATTAGAGAGATATACTATTTTGTCCCAGTTAAATAGATGAGGAAACTGAGGCCTAGAAAAGGTAATTTATTGAGGGTCAGACAGCTGGTAACTAGCAGAACCAGGATTTGAACCCATTAAATCCATCTCCATACTCTTTTTAAAAAAATATATATATTTTATTGATTTTTTTATAGAGTTAGAAACATCGATGAGAGAGAATCACTGATCAGCTGCCTCTTGCACACCCCCTACTGGGGATGTGCCCGCAACCAAGGTACATGCCCTTGACCGGAATCGAACCTGGGACCTTTTAGTCTGAAGGCCGACGCTCTATCCACTGAGTCAAACCGGTTTCGGTTCCATCTCCATACTCTTAACTAGGGCCCTATACTGTCTTTTATTTGTAACTTAAAACTTGCAAGTCTTCAGTTTGGATGAATTTTTTATTAGTAATGTTTCATAATTTAAAGAGTTCATGTCTATAGATAGACACCTGCTATTCAGGTATCACTAGCCTGTACCCAGATAGACTGTCAAAAGGATGGTTCTCTGGATATTACCCTTACGTGGTTTGGGCTCGATGCAGATGAATCCAGGGACACTGGCTTGGTTTCCTCACGTGCCGGATAATGCCACCCAAAGAAGATCTCTGATCCTTAACAGACTGCACTCTTCATCTCAGTCGTTGTTCACAAATCTTTGTTGTCTTAGCCTAAAAATTTAACTTAAAACTTGGGGAAAGTCCATTGAGGATAGAAAGAAGTATGACCTCACATTGGAGGGAGTTAGCTTAACACGTATCATTTTCAGAGGGTGAAAATGTAAATAGACTTTAAAATTTTACATTGCAGGTGGACAGTTTTGAAGTATTTAACTTTCTTGGACTTGACTTCAAGGACAAAAATCATGTTCTTTAGAAACATGTGTTGCAGATTTTGTCAGAGAAGCATGGATCACAGATTAAGGAGCGCCGTTTTTCAGTTGGGTGCTGTTAGTTACAGAGGGAACCCGGGTATTATTGGATTCCAAGTGTCCATCACCAACACTGGGAAGATCCCCAACCACTCCCAGGTGCTGCTGGCAGCATTTCCATGGCATTTTCACATTTCATATGTTCCAGACCAGTCTTTTTTCATGAATGCTTCCTGGTGATATTTGCAACTTGCTGATTTTAAATATATATATTTTATTGATTTTTTACAGAGAGGAGGAGAGAGGGATAGAGAGCTAGAAACGTCGATGAGAGAGAAACATTGACTAGCTGCCTCTTGCACACCCCCTACCGGGAATGTGCCCACAACCAAGGTACATGCCCTTGACCGGAATCGAACCTGGGACCTTTCAGTCCGCAGAGCCAAACCGGTTTCGGCTGCAATTTGCTGATTTTAAAATTTGTTAATAATAGCTCCCCCCCCCCCCTTTCTCCCCCAGTTACCGCGAAAAAGCAAAGAAAGATGCTGCCGCTGTGGGTAATCATGCTGCCAAATTGCTGCAGTCTGTCGGCCGGGTAAGCTGCTGGGCACCCTGCCTGTGAGGGACAGCACAGCCCCCTGTAGGCCCGATCCCGTAACTTCAGCCGGAAAGGTGTAGAGATGGAGGGCATGGCACTGGCTCCGCGCTTGTAGAGGGCCCTCTCACTTGCCTGCCTCAGGAGAAACTGTGTCTTTTAAGGAGGAAATGTGTTTTTCCGGTGCTCTCCCAGCCCTGGGAGGAAGCCTTCCCGCCCCACAGTGACCATCTTTGTGCTGTACCCACTGCTAACCTGCTCTTTCATACCGGAGCAAAATCTGCATTGTCTCTTTACAGGCACCAGAGTCCATTTCAGAGAAAGAATTAAAATTACTCTGTAAGTCCCCTTGAATTAATTTCCTTACTTTGTTTCATAAAAATGTGCCATAAGGAGTGTTCCCAGGAATTTTAAATAGTTGAAATTGAAAAATTTCCCTAGTCTCGTGGTATAGATAAATACTATTGCATAAGGTTTTATTTATTCTTATAATGTAATAATGGGATTATTTTAAGACTGGGTCAGAGCTAGAAGAAATCTATATGGCAATGCAAAAAAGACACGAAGGTCAGTTATTTGAAAATTGTCCTTAATGCCGACTTCTTTCCAGATTATTGATTTTAACTAATTTGGGAAAGTTTTATCTGAAGGCTTTGAGTATGAAGTCGAGTCACATGTACATGGGGAGTGTTGGTTTAATTACTCAGTTTGGTCTGTGTTGAGTGACTGTAATAGAATTAAGAATTTTACCATCTAGTTTAAGATGGTTAGGCTCCAGTTGTTTTTGATAACTCCTCAGTAGACCCGAAGCATTTCTTTCTATTTTTTTTTAATGAACTATTTGTTTTTAAAGTAAGTTTACAGTTGTGAGTACAAGAAACAGTTTATTCTTGTATTATTATTATTAATTACTAGAGACCCGGTGCATAAAATTCATGTGCTGGGTGGGGGGTGTCTCTCAGCCCAGCCTGCACCCTCTCCAACCTGGGACCCCTTGGGGGATATCTGACTGCCGATTTATGCCCAATCCAAACCAGCAGTAGGACATCCCTCCGTAATCCGGTTCTGCTGGCTCCCAACCGCTCACCTGCCTGCCTGCCTGATTGCCCCTAACCACTCCCCTGCCAGCCTGATCCATGCTCCCCTGCCGACCTGATTGCCCCCAACTACCCTTCCTGCCAGCCCTATCGCCCCAACTATCCTCCCCTGCAAGCCCCAGTCGTCCCCAACTACCCTCCCCTGCAGGCCTGGTCGCCCCCAACTGTCCTCACTTGCAGGCCTGATCCCTCCCATCTACCCTCCCCTGTAGGCCTGGTCCCTCCCAACTGCCCTACCCTGCTGGCCTGGTCACCCTTAACTGCCCTTCCCTGCTGGCCATCTTGTGACCACATGGGTGGCCATCTTGTACAAGGGTATGATGGTCAATTTTCATATTACCTTTTTATTATATAGGATTGTATTATTTTCCATATGAATAACTGTAAACCTACTTTAAAAAATATTTTTAAAATATATTTTTATTGATTTTTTTACACAGAGGAAGGGAGAGAGATAGAGAGCTAGAAACGTCGATGAGAGAGAAACAACAATCAGCTGCCTCTTGTACACCCCCTACCGGGGATGTGCCCACAACCAACGTACATACCCCTGACCAGAATCGAACCCGGGACCTTTCAGTCCGCAGACCGACGCTCTCGCAGACCGACGCTCTACCACTGAGCCAAATTGGCTAGGGCTGAACTTTATTTTTAAGAGCAGTTTTAAGATCATAGCAATGTTGAGTGCTAAGTACAGAGATTTCCTGTGTACCCCCAGACCCAACCTCCCCCATTATGAACACCCCCCACCAGTGTGGCACATTGATTACAGTCGTTGAACTGACATGGACACATGATCACCAAAGTAAACAGTTCACATTAGAATAAACAAACAGGTGACGTACCGTCTGTGGATTTTGATAAATGTGTAAGGACATGCGCCCACCATTATAGTATCATACAGAATAATTTCACCGTCCTAAAAATTTCCTGTCTAGTTAGGTGTGTTCATTGCCCTAACTGGTTTGGTTCAGTGGATAGAGCATCGGCCTGCGGACTGAACGGTCCCGGGTCCCAGGTTCGATTCCGGACAAGGTCATGTTCCTTAGTTGCGGACACATCCCCAATAGGGGGTGTGCAGGAGGCAGCTGATTGATGTTTCTCTCTCATCAATGTTTCTCTCTATCTCTCTCCTTTCCTCTCTGTAAAAAAATCAATAAAATATATGTATTTTAAAATTTCCTATCCTCAGCCTATTCATCTCTTCTTTTTTCCCTAACTCTTGGAAGCCATTAATATTTTTATCGTCTCTACACCATTTTTCTTTTTCCAGTGCACTTTGAAATGATACCCCTTCCACTCTTGCCTCTATTTAACCCATTTTCCAACGAGCAGTCAGAGAGATTTCTTAAATAGGCAATGAGACCATACCATTTTCTGCCAGACCTATAATGAAAGTGGATCACCTTCCTTCAACCTACAAGGCCTTGCATGATCTGGTCTCTGCCTGCTTGCCTAGCCATCTCATGCCACTGTTTTCTGAGGCATTTCTTTTTAATTTAAGACCTAGTTTAAGAATAATACAATCTGTTTACATGCTTTCTGAAGATAAAGTCTACATTTTGCATACTCCTCAATCCTAAAATATATTTATCAAACTTCTCCATTTCTTCACTCTTTCTGTTTGTTTAGTTTTTTGGTTTTTAAAAAAATATATTTTATTGATTATTTACAGAGAGGAAGGAAGAGGGATAGAGGGTTAGAAACATCGATGAGAGAGAAACATCGATCAGCTGCCTCTTGCACACCCCCTACTGGGGATGTGCCTGTAACCAAGGTACATGCCCTTGACCGGAATCGAACCCGGGACCCTGCAGTCCGCAGGCCGACGCTCTATCCACTGAGCCAAACCGGTTTCGACTAGGCTTCGTTTTAATGTTTTGTTCCATTATTAATCTTGTACTTTGTTTCAATATACAGTGTTTGTTTAACTAAATCATGATACCAGATTAAAAGCTGGATGTTGCGTATTTGAGGGCTTATTCTGTTCCCTCTATTTTGGGATATGTTTGAAAATTTCCATAAAATAATTTGTTTTGTTAAAACCTTATATATACCAAGAGCACAATATATATAACACTTTACTTTTGGACTATTTATCCAATATAATAACTACTGTTCATTGTGCCCTATCAGGCATTTGCATCCATAACTTTCAAAGGTAAATATTATCCCCATTCTGAGGCTCAGAGAGGTGCCCTCACGTACTAATTCAGTGACGAACTGGTTGTAGCGCCAAGGACATGAATTTCGATGACTTACGTTCTAGTGCTTTCCCTGCTAACCATTAGAGTCAAATAGGAGACATTTCTTCACGTTAGCCTGTCTGTGAAGAATATAGACTCAATTTCCTGTTCTTAAAGAGATCTGTGATTTGGAATATTCATGTGTCAGTTACCTCTGTGATGTCTTTCCTGTGTTCAGGTAGCAATTCCGCATTTCTTCGAGTGGTAAGATGTCGGTCCTTAGCTGAAGAATATGGCTTGGACACAGTTAACAGGGATGAAATTAGTAAGTATAATAATCTTTTGATGCTATGTTATTAATTTTTTTCCCATCCTTCCTTTAAAAATTGGATTGATGGGGTGACACCGGTTAACAGAATTTACAGGTTTCAGTTGCACACTTCTACGGTACATCATTTGTGTCTTCACCACCCCAAGTCAAGTCTCTGTCCATCACCATTTATCACCCCTGTATCCTCGTTCACCTCCCCCCACGCCCACTCTCCCTGGCAATCGCCACATTGTTGTCTGTGCTCATGAGTCCTTTCTCTTTTATTTTTCTTCTTTTCTTTTTTGCTCAATTCTCTCCCCCTCCTGTCTCACCCCACCACCCCATAAGCTGTGAGCCTGCTCTCTCTCTCTGAATCTGCCTTTATTTTGCTTATTTTGTTAGTTCATTAGATTCCACATATGCGTAAAATCCTATGGTACCTGTCTTTCTCTGACTGGCTCATTCAATTTATTATAATGCTCTTCAGGTCCATCCAAGCTGTTGCAAAGTGTAAAGTTTCCCTTTTTACAGCTGAGTAGTATTCCATAGTATAAATGTACTGAAGCTTTAATTTTAAAGAGATTAATGTTTTATGTATAATTATAATGAGTATATGATGATAATATAAATGATAATGGAAATATTTATACTCTAAATTTAATTCTATAAACCTATCTAAGTTGTCATAATTTCACAATGTAAAACTTAATGCATATATACAATTGTATTTAGGTAGGTTACTAAGTTGTGTGATAAATAGAAGAACTAAAGTCAGCCTGTTACTACTTTATTTTTTTTTTTTTTATTTTTTTTTTATTTTTTTTTTAAATCAATCTTTATTGTTCATATTATTACAAAGGTTCCTCATTTCTTCCCCCCTCCACTAGGTTCCCACCCCACCCTACGTCCCCCCCCCATCCCCCATTGTCCTCATCCATAGGTGCAGTTTATGTTCAGTCTCTTCTTCCCTCAATTTCCCCAATAGTAAATCCCTTTTCAGATAGTAAATCAGTTACTTAGCATTTTCTCATATCAATAATACCTCCACATGCCCAATGATACACTTCACACAAAAGACATTTCCCACTAGGTCAACCAGCCTCATCCAGGCCCCACCCAAGGCACTCACAGATCAACACCCCAGTCCTAAACTAACTCAACACATCCAGATCTAAGCCTTCATCACTTGATTCAGCAGACCCTCAAGTTCCCACGCAAGTTTCCAGCCATGTCTGAGAGGCAGCCGTGGGGCAGGGGCAGGCAAGGAGCGAGCTGTTCTGGGCCTGGCTGCTCAGGGCCTGGTCTCTGTTGCTCTGGTTCATTCCACAACCAGCTGCTCCGGGTCTGGTCACTGCCGCTCCCGACCTAGTTGCTCTGGACTTGGCTGCTGCTGCTCCGGGCCTGGCCGCACCAGCCCCGCCTGCTCCCCCGGGCCTGGCCGCTCCCAGCCTGGCCGCCGCTGCTCCGGGCCTGGCCGCACCAGCCCCGCCTGCTCCCCCGGGCCTGGCCGCTCCCAGCCTGGCAGCCGCTGCTCCGGGCCTGGCCGCACCCGACCCGCCTGCTCCCCCGGGCCTGGCCGCTCCCAGCCTGGCAGCCGCTGCTCCGGGCCTGGCCGCACCCGACCCGCCTGCTCCCCCGGGCCTGGCCGCTCCCAGCCTGGCAGCCGCTGCTCCGGGCCTGGCCGCACCCGACCCGCCTGCTCCCCCGGGCCTGGCCGCTCCCAGCCTGGCAGCCGCTGCTCCGGGCCTGGCCGCACCAGCCCCGCCTGCTCCCCCGGGCCTGGCCGCTCCCAGCCTGGCAGCCGCTGCTCCGGGCCTGGCCGCACCAGCCCCGCCTGCTCCCCCGGGCCTGGCCGCTCCCAGCCTGGCAGCCGCTGCTCCGGGCCTGGCCGCACCAGCCCCGCCTGCTCCCCCGGGCCTGGCCGCTCCCAGCCTGGCAGCCGCTGCTCCGGGCCTGGCCGCACCCGACCCGCCTGCTCCCCCGGGCCTGGCCGCTCCCAGCCTGGCAGCCGCTGCTCCGGGCCTGGCCGCACCCGACCCGCCTGCTCCCCCGGGCCTGGCCGCTCCCAGCCTGGCAGCCGCTGCTCCGGGCCTGGCCGCACCCGACCCGCCTGCTCCCCCGGGCCTGGCCGCTCCCAGCCTGGCAGCCGCTGCTCCGGGCCTGGCCGCACCAGCCCCGCCTGCTCCCCCGGGCCTGGCCGCTCCCAGCCTGGCAGCCGCTGCTCCGGGCCTGGCCGCACCAGCCCCGCCTGCTCCCCCGGGCCTGGCCGCTCCCAGCCTGGCAGCCGCTGCTCCGGGCCTGGCCGCACCAGCCCCGCCTGCTCCCCCGGGCCTGGCCGCTCCCAGCCTGGCAGCCGCTGCTCCGGGCCTGGCCGCACCCGACCCGCCTGCTCCCCCGGGCCTGGCCGCTCCCAGCCTGGCAGCCGCTGCTCCGGGCCTGGCCGCACCCGACCCGCCTGCTCCCCCGGGCCTGGCCGCTCCCAGCCTGGCAGCCGCTGCTCCGGGCCTGGCCGCACCAGCCCCGCCTGCTCCCCCGGGCCTGGCCGCTCCCAGCCTGGCAGCCGCTGCTCCGGGCCTGGCCGCACCAGCCCCGCCTGCTCCCCCGGGCCTGGCCGCTCCCAGCCTGGCAGCCGCTGCTCCGGGCCTGGCCGCACCAGCCCCGCCTGCTCCCCCGGGCCTGGCCGCTCCCAGCCTGGCAGCCGCTGCTCCGGGCCTGGCCGCACCAGCCCCGCCTGCTCCCCCGGGCCTGGCCGCTCCCAGCCTGGCAGCCGCTGCTCCGGGCCTGGCCGCACCCGACCCGCCTGCTCCCCCGGGCCTGGCCGCTCCCAGCCTGGCAGCCGCTGCTCCGGGCCTGGCCGCACCTGACCCGGCTGCTCTGGGCCCGGCTGCCCCGGGCCCTGCCGCTCCGAGCCTGGCCACTCCCGACCTGGATGCTCTGGGCTTGGCTACTGCTGTTCTGGGTCTGGCTGCTCCCACCCCGGCTGCTCTGGGCCCGGCTTCTTCGGGCCCGGCCACTCCGGGTCTGGGTGTTCCTGGACTGGCCACCCTGGGCTTGGCCGCCTCCGCCTCCTGCCTGGCTGCCACTGCCCCAGGTCTGGCTACTCCAGTGCTGGCTGTTGATGCTCTGGTTCTGGCTGCTGTTGTTCTGGGGCCTGGCTGTTGCTGCTCCGGGTCTGGCTGCCACTGCCTTGTGCCTGGCCACTCTAGGCCTGGCCGTCGCTGTTCCAACATTCTGTCCTTTTTTTTTTCTTTTTAAAACGCATTTATGTTGCAATGTTGGCTGGTGAGTTGAGTTCTGACTTAGTCTTTGATTTTTCAAGATCTTCTTTGTATTCTTTCTTAAGTAATTTTACTATTTTTTGCTCTCACTTGATTTCTTCACATTGAGAACTTCTTTGGTTTCTTCCTCCTTGTCCTGGGAGCTCAGCAGGTTGGCCTGTGGCACCCCTTTGTTCTCCGCGGGCTCCTGTGCTGCTTCAGCCTGTTGCCGGGACGGCGCCGCCCAGGAAGCAGCCCCCAGCCTTGGCTCCATTGCCCGAGCTCAGTGGTCAAAGGCTCAGGGGCACCCACGCCCCCAGGGGCCCCGTGGCCCGCCTCCTTGCTGGTGCCCGGTTGGCTGGAGTCCGACAGGGGCTTCCGCTCCCCTCCGCGTTCCCCCAGCCTAGAGCTTTTTTTTTCTCCTTCCCGCTAGGGAAGTCCAGCATCAGAGTCAACAGACTGTCCTCTGCGCGCAGTTTGCGCGAGTCCCACAGACTGTCCTCTGCGCGCAGTTTGCGCGAGTCCCGGGGGCCCGGCCTTTCGCCGCTCTCCCCGGACTCCACCTCACAGCCCCGTCTCCCTCTGCCTGAGCCTGGGTCCCCAGGGATTGGCCCAGAACTGGGGTTCGGAGCAGTCCGGACTGAGGCTCACCGCCGCTGGAGGCCTTGTTTCTTCCAGCTAGGGCAACCCAGCATCAGAGTCAACATTCAGTCCTCTGCGCGCATTGCGCGCGACTCCCGGGGCCCTGTCTTTCGCCATTTTTCTGCCTCACGGCCCTGTCTCCTCCCGCCGGAGCCTGGGTCCCCAGGGTCTGGCCCATAACTGGGGCTCAGCGCTGCCGGTTCGGGGGGGCTCAGCGCTGCCGGTTCGGGGGTTCAGCCCAGGCTGGGGGTTTTATTTCCTTCCTGCTGGGGAAGGAAAGGCGGCTCCCCGCCCTCTCCTCCTCTCCGGCTGCGACCTCTCCGTGTGCGCGTGCGGGCGGGCAGGCGCGCGCAGCATGTCTCCGTACCTTAGGCTTTTTTTCAGCTCCTCTGATTTTCTTTCTGGTTTTCTCTTTCCTTCTTGTTGTAGAAATTTCAGTCAGTCGACTACCTGTAGCTCTGGGCAATGTCCACTCTACATTTTAGTTGTATTCCATTGAAATTGTTGTGTGCTGCCGCGGCTAGATGTCTACCCGAGCAGCCATCTTGGATCCCTATTTTTTATTTTTTAAAAGAATATATTTCTTTATTGACTTCAGAGAGGAAGGGAGAGGATAGAAAGATGGAAACATCAATGATAAAAATCATTGATTGGCTGCCTCCTGCACGCCCCCTACTGAGGATTGTGCCCAAAACCTGGGCATGTTCCCTTGGCCGGAATCGAACCTGGGACCCTTTAGTTTGCAGGCTGATGCTCTATCCACTGAGCCAAACTGGCTAGGGCAGCATGTTACTACTTTAGTAGAGATTATGGTGACTAGATAATAGTCTAAGACACTGGTCGGCAAACTGTGGCTCGCGAGCCACATGTGGCTCTTTGGCCCCTTGAGTGTGGCTCTTCCACAAATACAATGGCCTGGGCAAATATTTTGAAGAAGCGGCGTTAGAAGAAGTTTAAATTTAAAAAATGTGGCTCTCGAAAGAAATTTCATTCGTTGTACTGTTGATATTTGGCTCTGTTGGCTAATGAGTTTGTTAACTACTGGGTTTTATCTTAATGTATCTCCCTTTATTTTACTATTATTTATCATTTTCTATTTTATTGTCACAAAATACTAGAATTTTCTGGTAAAATTGCCTTGAGACATAAAATTTGATTATATAGTAAGGTCCATCCTTTATTGTTTTTATGTCATGAATTACCCAAATTATATTGAATTCTTTCCCTTTCAGTTTCCAGCATGGACAGTCCAGATAATGAGATAGTATTATACTTAATGTTACGGGCTGTGGATAGATTTCATAAACAGCATGGTAGATACCCAGGTAAGAATAGCAATCAAATTATCAAATATAATAAAATCTTAAGTAGACACTTGAATTAAATCTTAAAAGTGTTTTGGGGTGTTTACAATTGGTTCTTGGTTTTTACATTGCAAACAGTTTACATTATATCTTATTGAGGAACTACCATTTATTTTGTAGGTGTAACTATTTGCAAATAGTGTTTGATTCTAAACCATTACAAGGGAATGTTGGTTGAATGGATAGCATGTAGAAGAAAACATTTTTCTATAATTTTTCACAGTTTACCTCTAAGAGTTACTGAATTTAATGTAGTGGAAATAGAAAGTCACAGGAAGTATGCCAGTGACTCCTGAACTCAGAGCTCTGAAGATGTAGGGATTTCTTTGCTTAATATCTAATTTTTGTTTTCTGTTAAATATAATGATTAGGGAATTGGTATAATTTCAAAGATTTTCAGTTGCCCAGAAAATTTTTATTAAGATAAGTTTAATTTTTATTAAGATAAGATTATTGCATAGCAGTACATTCTAGGTGAATCATAAAACCTGTTGCCCCAATTGATGTCATATGTCTACTGAGTTACAGTCTTAATGAGTTAGCTTATCAGAAAGAAAATGCATAAACACTATATTGCTTTATTTGTATTATTTGATTAGAATGTTTGGTGTTTTTTTTTTTATTATCCATTGAATAACAAACCATCTCAAAACAATAAATTATTATATGATGACTTTGTGAATTGGCTGGGCTCAGTTAGGCCTATCTCAGTGCATGATGCCCGGAACTGGAGTCATGCTGAAGGTTTGACTGAATTGGACATCCAAGAAGTCATTTTAGCTCAGATGTCGGCTCTTTAGTCAGGAGTCCTGGAATTGCTGGGGGCTTGTCAGGCATCTGTCACCACATAGCTAGCTAGGTTTCCTTTAAGCACGGCAGTTCTAGGGTAGACTTCTTACATGGTGTCTGGCTTTCCTAGAATCCAAAGACCCAGGTGGAAGGTACAAGGCTTTTTGTGACTTAGAAGTCACAGCATCACTTATGTTGTATTCTATTTGCTTCCCAAGGCCAGCTGAGATTGAGTAGAAGGGGGCTACATGAGGGCACAAAGAGGATACATTGGGGAGCCATCTCGGGAGAGTAACAACCATATAGAGCAGTCTTTGAATCTAGGTTCAGATCCAAGCTCTGTCACTATCTCTTGAACTTGGATGAGTTACTGTTTCCCTCTAAGTTTCAGGTCTCATATTTATGGAATAGCAATAATAGTATCTACTCTATTAGACTGTTAGGGTTAAATATGTGATGTATGAAAATCACTTTATACACTGCCTAACACCTTGTAAGTACTCAATAAAGGATAGGTATTGCTCTTATGAGGAAGAGTAGTGGTGATCATTTTTAAACCATAGTAGTTAAAAAATACTGATTTTTAAAAATAGGTGAATGTTATGGCAATTATGTTTTAACTTCCAGTAGTAATAACAATCAATAGCTCACCTTTGGAGATGTTATAGCTTAATTATTAACAACTGTCTGGGCTTATATCTGTTTTGCTATTTATGAGCTAAGTAACTCAGGCAAATAATCTGTGTCTCAGTTTTTTCATCTGTAAAATGGGAATAATAGTACCTACTTAATAAGGTGATTATGAGGATTAAATTAAACAGTATACATATGGTACTTACATGTTTTTGAGCATTAACAGATGCATTTACCAGGATCTGTAATGCTCAGTGTTACCTGTTGTTTTATGTCCTCTGTGTCATTTAATCTCTTGAAAATGAATAATAAACACCATAATTTTTACAGAGGGTATAAATAGGACATCACTTTCTCATTCGTTCAATTCTTCTATCAAAGTATTGAGCACCTACTGTGTGCCAGACATTCTTCCAGATACTGGAGATGGGGCAGTGAACAAAGCAGGCTCCTCACACTCAGATCTTAACAGGTTTTTGATGGTTTCTTTGATTGTTACAGGTTTGTGGTATTTTCTAATATTGGTCTCGTACATTCTGTTATTTTTGTTCTTCATTTTCACACCTTTTTATTTTATTTTATTAGAACACCTGAAACTGGCGTAAATAAAGGAGGTAGCCATTCATTTTGAATCATATGTTTATTTCAATGAAAATTAATTTGCATGTATATTTGTAGGGGTATCTAATTATCAAGTTGAAGAAGATATAGGAAAGTTGAAGTCTTGTCTCACTGGCTTCCTTCAGGAATACGGACTGTCTGTGATGGTGAAAGATGATTATGTCCACGAATTGTGAGTATTTCTTAAGCCATATTAAGAAATAATACTGGTGCCTGTCCTAAGCTAGTCGAAGTTCATGTCTCCTTTCTTTCCTAAAGTTGCCGATACGGAGCTGCTGAGCCACACACCATTGCTGCGTTCTTAGGAGGTGAGTTCCAAGGATGAGAAGACTGGCATCTGTTGTTATATAGTAGAGTTAAGAAGGTTTTTTTTGTTTTGTTTTTTTTAAAGGTTTTTATTGATTACAGAGAGGGAGAGAGAAATAGAAACATCAGTGGTGAGAATTATTGATTGGCTGCCTCCTACAAACACCCCGCCCAACTCCCCCTCTCCTCTCCCTCTTCCCCCCACTGGGGATGGAGCAGCAACCTGGGCACATGCCCTTGATGAATCAAACCTGGGATCTTTCAGTCCGCAGGCCAATATTCTATACACTGAGCCAAATCGGCTAGGACAGTTTTGTTTTCTTAGCTATTTTACCGAGGGAGGTCAGGAAGCAGGGTGTTGAATATTAAGTGGCACAACGCCTTTATGTTTCTTCACTTTGTCCAGGTCTTTGTTTTAAATATCTTTCCTGTGAGACCTTCCTCACTCCAATTTAAGGCTGAGCCCCACCTCTTGTACTCATGCCTTCTTCCTGCTGTTTCTCCTTAGCACTAAGGCCATTTGAGGTGGTCTCTCCCTCACTGTGCTGGAAGGGAAGGTCCATGGGGCACTGACTTTGTCTTCTGTTCCTACCATATTCCTGGTGCCCAGAACAGCGTCTGGTACAGAGTAGAGTCTCACATTGTACTTAATTAATGAGTGTTTCTGAAAGATCAAGCTTTCAGGTTATAAAAGATGAAGAATTTTTTTTCTTAGTTTTTTTTTGTTCTATTTTTGTTTTGAGTAGTTACATCAGTATTTAATAGAGATTCTTTCCAAATTACAAATGTATTTAAAACAAATACACCTTTATTCCCTTTTTATTGTAAAAGTAAAGCAGAAGGGAGTCCTTACAGAATCTTCTCTGCCTACTGTATTTTCTGGCGTATAAGACGACCCCCTAATTTTACAGTTAAAACAGGTTTCTGCCTATATTCGCTGTATAAGACTACCCTCCACTTCCGGTAGCTTCGGGTACAGAACATGTATAATTTGCATGAAGCCTGCTCGGATTGGCCAGAGTCAGAGAGGCGGTCTATTAAAAAAAGAACTGGTGTTGCCTCGGAAGTGGGGGGTAGTCTTATACAGCGAATATAGGCCTAAACCTATGTTTTAACTGTAAAATTAGGAGGTCGTCTTATACGCCGGAAAATACGGTATATGTATCCTTTAAAATGCAATCAACTGTATTACTATTTTGATGGTTTTTTACTTAATATATCTTGCTAATGTTTCAAAGCCACCATAATTAAAAATACTTCATTCTTTAAAACTGTGGCATAATATCCCAAGCTATGAATGTATAAAACAAAATTTTAATAACATAGTTATTAAAAATTATGGCCCTTTATTTTGATATGGTAAATTATGTCTGTTTTGGATTAGTTTTAAACACCTTTGCTTTTGGAAAAGGGGAAGGTTTTCTTTACAGAACTGATATTTTTATATAATTCTTGAAACTTACCTTTTTTAAAAATTTGCTTTTTTCCTTTCTCCTTGCAGGAGCTGCTGCTCAAGAAGTTATCAAAATAATCACCAAACAATTTGTAATTTTTAATAATACTTACATTTATAGTGGCATGTCACAAACTTCAGCAACTTTTCAGTTGTAGAATAAGTATCCGCTGTAGTGTGTTAATAATTGAGACTATAATGGCCTTTGGGTTGTGCTCTAATCTGTAAAATTCTGTCAAGGGAAAACTGTTAAATTGTTTGCTTAATAAACATTTTCTCATTTGTAATAATGTAGTCTTGTTTGAGGGGTATTAGGGGGGGGGGGTGGGGAGGGGGATAGTGTGTGAAGGAAGTAGTCATGTTTCCCAGAGAGTAAGAGCTATTCATTTAAAATTGAGTTCGCTATTTTCAGCTTGCTGTTTCAAAGTTTCTTACAGAAATCGTTTCATCAGAAATAGCTTTAAGAACTTTTTTCTTAAAGTCTTAAACAATGAATTTAATACATGTGTAGATTTTAGCTCTGGACATCTTAGGATCATCCCTATTTGTTAAAATTTATAGGATTTATAAGCAAATATTTCAGACGTAGTAGTTTTATCAGAAAACAAGGACATAATGCACCTGGGAGGGAAGGTTGGGAGGAATAAGGGCCCAACTTCCGGTGCCCCTGGAGGCCATACTCCATGATGGGTGATCGCCTCCTCCATCAGGGAGCCCTCCCAGCCAACTCTTTGAGGTGTAAAGGAAGCATTTACAGACAGGGAGGTTGGAGGATTTACCATTGAAGTTGTGAATTTCCACCACTTAGAAACGTCAATCACGAATTCGCTAACACCTGCCCTTGGGGAGCAATTCCCCCTGGGGGCGGGGTTGCCGGAAGTCCCGCCCCCGGAAGTGGGTCTCGCCCTCTCGGTGGGAAACGGGCTGCGGCGTCGTGGTAGGCAGGCAGCAAAGGCTGAAGAGTGGAAGCCCAGAGCCTGGCGACTTGAGGGTAAAGACCGCGGCTCCCCGCGTGTTCGTGTCCGGGTCCCCGCTCAGCCCTGCCCGGGATGGAGCCTGTCCACTGCCTCCTGAGGAAGGCGGGCTGCGGCCCGCGGGCACAGGCGTTCCTCACGGTGCCAGGAGCCGAGGGCCGCGCTGTGCCCTCAGCCGACCCCGGTGACGGGATGGCCGGAGCGCAAGGGCATGGGTTGTGCGTGTGGGAAGGGCTCTTCCTGAGGAGGCTGCGGTCCCCACAGCAGCTGGTGGACAGAGTAATTGGCTCCCGCCATTTAGTCAGGTGTGTCCCGATTTTCCACAGTTGGTCCCTCAGCGTCGTTAAAAAGTCCCGATTTTTGGAAAGAACCTTTTAAAACGCCACGAGGCGCGGGACAAATTGTTGAAAATCGGGACGTCTGGTCCCCTTGGTCAGGTGTCGAGAGCTTGGCAGTTTTCGACCTCAAGCCAGGGCGCCTCGCCGGTGGTTGTGAGGAAGGGCAGGTGGGAACCATCGGGGCGGGGGTCCGGGGGCACCTGCCGCCGCTGCCAGCACCGGGACTGGGCCCGCCCGCTGCCGGGAGTCGCTCGGTGGAGGGGCCTTTAGCCAGCGCCCTGTCCCTCGCAGGCGTTGGACAACCTGGTCTACGGAGAGCCTGAGGCACCGCCTGTGCTTTTTTTTTTTTTTTTTTTCTTTATTGATTAAGGTGTTACATATGTGTCTTTATCCTAAGGTGACCAAAGGTCCCGCTTTTGGCGGGACAGTCCCGATTTTGAACAATTTGTCCCGCGTCCTGCGGCGTTTTAAAAAAGTCCCGGGACAGATCAACCGAAGGACTTGTATACATGCATATAAGTACAACCAATGGACATAAAACTCTGGGGAGGGAGGGTATGTATGGGAGGGGGGGCAATATTAAAATATGTACACAGATAATAATTTAATAAAAATTATTAATTAATTAATTAATTAAAACCACAAACAAACAAAAAAGTCCCGGGACGTCTGGTCACCTTACTTTATCCCCACCTCCGCACTCCCCACCCCCACCCACTCATACCCTCATCCCCCTGGTGTCTGTGTCCACATTGGTACCGTTAGGCCTATTCCAAAGGAGTTCTGCCAGTTCTTTTTTATTTTTATTTTTTTTAAATATATTTTATTGATTTTGTACAGAGAAGAAGGGAGAGAGATAGAGAGTTAGAAACATCGATGAGAGAGAGTCATCGATCAGCTGCCTCTTGCACACCCCCTACTGGGGATATGCCCGCAACCAAGGTATATGCCCTTAACCGGAATCGAACCCGGGACCCTTCAGTCCCCAAGCCGACGCTCTATCCATTGAGCCAAACCGGTCTCGGCTCTTTTTTATTTTTAAATTTTTTAATATTTTTAATTGATTTTTTACAGAGAGGAAGAGAGAGGGATAGAGAGCTAGAAACATCGATGAGAGAGAAACATCCATCAGCTGCCTCCTGCACACCCCCTTCTGGGGATGTGCCCGCAACCAAGGTACATGCCCTTGACTGGAATCGAACCTGGGACCCCTCAGTCCGCAGACTGACGCTCATTCCACTGAGCCAAACCGGTCTCGCTCTGCCAGTTTGTGAGCGGAAATTCAGGAAACTGGGTGGGCTTAGCCTTCCCTCCTTGGAAAGATCACGCACCTTTACTTGTGCAAACGGGTGAGAGGAGGATTTAAGCGACGGCTGCTCCAATCTACTGACTGAAAATATAGTTAAAAGGTTTCTAGAACAGTAATTGTTCTCCAATAGGACTTATGAGACATTAGAAACTTGTAAAAATTGTGATAAGTAGAAAACTGGAATAAAACGCCATAGAGCCACCAGTTAAAGGCAAGTGTTATGTTGCTGTTTTGTAACAGAAGTGTTTTTTCCATACTTTTAAACATTTTGAGTAAACAGTATCCTGTGGATGTACTATAATATGCTTAGCCATTTTTTAAATGGAATATTTGGCAAAACTGGTATACGTTTGTATATTACTTTGTAAAAGATTCCCACATTTAAAATTGTTTTGTTTGGGAATTTTATTTTCATTTTGAGAGAGAGAATGAAAAATAGAAAGGATAATTTGGTGTCTCCCATGAACCACGCAATGATGAAGTACATAGGTATTTTAGAGTTCTGTAAGTTCTGATTTATTGGTCTAAGAAGCTAATTGGACCAATAGATGTTTTTCTAAAAAATTAGCATTTAAAAATAAAGCATATAAGAGGTCAGTCTTATCAGGGCTGCTGGTTATTTTTAAATATATATATTTTATTGATTTTTTACAGAGAGGAAGAGAGGGATAGTGAGTTAGAAAACATCGATGAGACAGAAACATCAATCAGCTTCCTTTTACACACCCCCTACTGGGGATGTGTCTGCAACCAATGTACATGCCCTTGACCAGAATCAAACCTGGGACCTTCCAGTCCACAGGCCGACGGACACTCTATCCACTGAGCCAAACCGGTTTCAGCGTGGGCTGCTGGTTATTTTAAAAATTATTATAACAAATGATATATAAACAAAGATTTAAGTTAATAATACTATCTTGAACAAACCATGGGTTGTTAGAAAAAATCTTATTAATCTTAGCTTATGAAGATAAATGCAGTTCTAATGTGTGTGTGTGTGTGTGTGTGTGTGTGTGTGTGTGTGTGTGTATGTGTGTGTGTGAAACTTCTGATTCATGAAGGGATACCCAATCTGAATGGATGTGATGAAAATTTATAGGAAAGACAATAAGAAGGACCAGAGGAGGACTAGTTAGATTTAGTTAACCAACCATTCGTGTGTTTATCTATTTATGAAATATATTTTTATTGATTCAGAGAGGGAGATAGAAACATCAATGATTGAGTATCATTGATTGGCTGCCTGCTTCATACCCTCTACTGGGGATCAAGTGCCATGTACGCTCCTGAGCCAGGAACCTTGGCATTTGACCTTGACGGGAATCGAACTGGGACCCTCCAGTTTGCAGGCCAATGCTCTATCCACTGAGCCAAACTGGGTAGGGCTTGTGTGTTTATTTAATAGAATGTGTTGAATGCCTGTAGTACTTAAGAATGCCAGCAGCATTTTTTTAATGTTTTCACATATAATTCTTGTAACAAGTCTGAAGTAGGAATTTCCCATTTTACAGATGAGGAAACTGAGCCTCAGAGAACTAAAGCATACCTTGTATCACACATGTAATAATTTGTAGATTCAATCCCTGCTCTCTGGCTTTAGGAGAACTATTCCTTCACTATCCCTTTGCATTTATAATCCTGGACTTCTCAAATGTTCATCCATCCATTTATTTATTTGTGTGAAGGACATGTTCTTTTAAAAATAATTTTTAGTTAAATTTATTGGGGTAATATTGGTTAATAAAATTATATTGGTTTCAAGTGTATAATACTATAATACATCATCTGTATATTTCTTTTTTTAAATATGTTTTTATTGGTTTCAGAAAAGGAGAAAGAGATAAAAACATTAATGATGAGAGAAAATCATTGATTGGCTGCCTCCAACACACCCCATACTGGGGATTGAGCCCGCAAACCAGGCATATGCCCTTGACCAGAATCAAACACATGACCCTTCAGTCCACAGGCTAACTCTATCCACTGAGCCAAGCTGTCTAGGGCTGTATATTTCTTTTTGTTTTTTAAATATGTTTTTACTGATTTTAGAAACAGAGAGGGAGGAAGGGAGAGGGAGAGAGAAACATCAATCAGCTGCCTCCTGCATGCCCCCAACTGAGGATCAAGCCTGAACCTGGGCATGTGCCCTGACTGGGATAAAACCTGCAACCTCTCTGTGCAGGAGATAATGCTCAACCAGCTCATCTGTATATTTTAAACATTGATTTAAGTGAAGAAAATTTCCTTTATCTTATAGGTGAAATATAAGGGGGGAAAAAACAGACAAGCATGGAAAGTGAGGACACAAAGAAAATACAAGGTGAGAATCCATGGATCATATGTCTGGAATTAGTTTCATATATTTGTGGGTAATACTGCAGATTATCTGATAGGACCCAGAAAACGAAAGAATAATTCAGCAATTTACATAAATATTTATCAAGCACCTATTCTGTGCCTGTTACAGTCACTCGGGAAACCGACATTCTAATAGGAAAAGATATACTGATTAATTAGAACACCATCTGAAAATTGAT